ATGAAATTATTAATTTTAGAAAATGAGTAGTTGTACAACAAAGTAAATTAAACTACTTGGTCCACAAAAGAAATTTACATACATAGTAACAGCAGTAAAAATTGTAGATATGGCTTTAACTCCAAATTGATAAAACTCTATTATAAGGATCAGGGGAAGGGAAAACAAGAGGGTGGAGTGTGTGTAAAAGAGCTAAAATAAGAGATTTGTAGATAATGTTTTAAATTGATAAATCACAATACAGCTGCATAGCAGTAGACCCAGTGCAAAGCATTGAAAAAGTAGTTGTCCTTGGATGGTATATGAGTAGGGAAGTGAACAGAGAGACTAATATATATTTTTTTATATATAGTATTTTTAGTAATGGTTGAATTCCCTATGAACTGTATACTCATATTGCTATGATTTTTTAAAAGTTTGTAAAAATTTCCCATCATTGCTCCTTGACCACTACTCAATCCATTGGTTCCCTTATCAACTTGGTGATGTTTCCCCTCTCTGTCCCAAAGTTGTTCCTTCAATAATGTGAAATTGGGCTCCAATCAGTATTGTGTACTCTCAGAGTTCTTAGAAAGTTAAGAATGCATTCCCCCTGTGATGCTGCTTTTTCAGTTCTGAGCACAGCCAAGACATGTTACATAACTTGGAGTTTCAACAAACACCTGGAAATCAGGCTGTATGTATTGCTCAGATGAGACCAGACATGAAGAGATTGGTAGTGACAAGTGTTGTCACTTCTCTCTCTGACAGCAGGCAAGTGGCGCGCTGTGTATACAAGGTCTGATACCATGCTTTCAAGATGAAAAAAAAAAATGAAAAGGCAAGTGAAAAATAACATTTCAGGAAGAGCTATCTGAGAAAATAATGGCAAATTACACATGATTTAGCTTTGCTCTTAGCTTTTATAAAGACCCAAGGACTATGAACTGAGCAGTTGAGCCCTAATTAAGTCTCCTCTTGATCTCTGGTACTGCACACCCAATTCTCAGGCTGCGTTTTAAAAAGGCATCATAACATCCTCTCATTTATCTGCTCTTTTTCTTGCCTTGCTTTCTTTTTTTTTTTAATTCCCCCCCCTTTTTTTAACCTTGAGTAAAAGAGGTTAATATGAGCCATTAAGAATTAAAAAATAATTACACGATGAAAAAATAGCTCAGGTGAATTTTAATTAGAGCCTAATTTGATGGGATTTGAACCCAGCACACCGGAAATATACAGCGGTAACTTTAGCCGTTAAATTATGTGGCCTTTGTTTAAACTTGGTGGGAATTGAGAGAGATTATTTTGGCTGCTTGAAGACACCATGTTTTTTCCATTAATGCCAGGGAAATATATTGAGCGACTAAAATATTACTAATAAAAATAAATGTGAAAGTTGTAAATTTCAAACAATGTAAGACCCATAGTTCATACCTGAATTTCCAAATGTGTATGTGACATTTCATTAAGCTTAAAGCTGAAGACACGCTGTATTATGTCTGACCTCTTTAAAAAAGGGGCCTAAATATTTCCACAATTTGTCATCCTTTGGAATCTAACAATAATAAGGCAGAGAATGTAAAAAGGTCCCTCCTAAGCCAGGAGGAAGCCCCTCTCTGGTCCTGTGCTCAGATGTGAGGCATCGCCCTGCCCTCCCTGTATTACCAATCCCTCTACTGCCTTCCAGTGGGTTCTTTCATCCATCAAATGGCAACAGTAAAATAGAACACTTTGGATGCGAGATCATGAGGTGGACTAAGTAAAATCAACATCTCCCTTAAACCTTCCTGGGAAGGATAAGAGGTGTTAAGACAGAAGCAGAATTCCTGAAGGGATTTGAGCTCATTTTGTCAGAAGGAAGTGGTTCCACATTGAACCACCAGTCTGTAGGGCCTTGAGATATACCCCTGTGGTTTCATCACAACTAAGTCAGCCACTGGAGGGAGCCAATATGACTCTCACAGTTCAGTCGAATATGCTGAACTGGTAGGGAAAGATAATTTGAAAATGGCACGTAAGGATGACAGAATTTGAACAAAATCCCTTTTATTTATTTATGCCAAAATCTGTGTGAATGTAAAATGCCATCTCGATCATGCTTTATTTATGGTGTGGCTTTTTCTCTGGGGGGAAAAAAGAGAAAGAAGAAGCACGTTGGCTTGAAGTTCTTCTCAGACTGCACCTCATGGCCCTGGTGAGTGAGCGGGGTGGCGAGCCGGGACAGTGCGGCAGGCCTTGGCGCAGGCCAGGGCCCGTATGGGCACGCTGCGGACTCTGCTCGCCTGGGCTCATCTGGGCAGGTGGGAGAAGGCACTGCTTGTCATTTAGTGCAGCTAGAAATCATGCCTGTGCCTCTCCATGAATAGAGGGATGTGCAATATGTAAAATTCCTAAAGACAATGTTATTTATAGCTGTTGCAAACAATGTTTATACAAAGTTTATTAAATATGTCACCCACATTGATTTATCCCAACCAATCTCTTCAATCACTAATATTTATGTGATGGGTTCAGTCGCAACAATTATTTTATGTGCTGTAGAGTATGTTATAACTAGGGATTCACCCTGGCAATTATATGAAAGATAAAATGCTTCCTGAAGACCTCAGGGCAGACCAGGAAGTATATTATTGGACACAAGGTGGTTTTAACTGAATGCCACAGCACTAAATTTTAGAGGAAGAAATGTGGGGCATCTTATGGTTAAAAAGTCAAGCTAGTTTTGTGTCCTTTCTGAAGTTTCCTTGCTACTGGAAAGGTAGCAAGCTCATCTGCACATTTCCTTTCTCACGTCCAGACGTTGGGCTGAGAAATGCTTTCCCTCTCGTCATTTTGAATTTCTGTCAGCTATTGCTCCTCAGCAACGTTTACTTCGTGCCCACTGTGGGCAGAAGAGTCTAGTTGGCATCTGTAAACACCTACAAAGGAAACCAGACACACGTGACTTGCCTGGAAGGAATTGGCATCTGATGTGAGGGGCTGAAGCAGTGTTAACAAAGAAACCAGAATTTTCTAAAGAGTCCAGGGTAACTATTGAAACTGCAAGATGACAAACTCAAGGAAACAAACCAAAGCAAAACAAAGGTTGTTTCAAACCACAATTGAACGCAACTTCTGTTTCCTAAGAAAGACTAAAAAGTCCTTTGTTTGGCAAAAGGGCAGACCCACTTTGGTTCAGAGAGTAGGGCCTCAGGGCATGGCAGGAAAGTAGACAGTAAAACAAAGAGGTAGCTAAACTGTTCTGCAGAAGAAGTTAGCGGGAATTTCGGGCTGACATTCACTGTAGAAGGGAGAGGGGAAAAGTTTGGGCTGTAGGAGAAAGGGGGCTGAACAATGGGGGGGGGAGCGAATTTGGGGAAAACCTGTGTGCTGGTGAGGCCGGGAAATGATCTCTGAGTGCAGGCGTGTGTCATATTCAGGTTAGAAATGGTCGCTGTGTTGTAATGGAGGCCTATTGCCTGTCCCCAGGTCAGTGTTTTAAGAGGTAGGGGAGTCCAAACTAAATTAAGCTGTTTTATAAAAGCACATAGTGGTAGTCAGTAAGCAGAAATAATTTGGTCAAAACAGGAATGCAGAGTCAGAGGGAACTAAAATTGTTTAACTGACACCCTAACTTCAGGAAGCTCTGGAGAGATTGAGAGGAATCCTCACTGAGAGCTGAGGGCTTCCCTTGGGATAATTTCATCCCTGAGACAGGATGAAGCCCAGCCTAAGGGTCATGTAGCATTTTCCCAGGGGATGAGTAAGTTATTTTCATACTTCGATGGGAGTCTGGTTTTACTCTCCCCTCTTACCCCCTGCTATTATTATTACTCCCCCCCCCAAAAAAAAAATTATTTCTCTGCCAGGAGGGATTTTTTTCCAATGACTAAATCTTCCTCTTTAGTTGTCATTGGATTCGATTCTCAGTTGGCTTCATTTCATAGCCTTTTCTTAGTAATTAGCACTATAGGCAATGAAAATATTTGGGACCATGGGTTTGAGAATACTGGTCTTTCGTAAAACCAGTTGCTCTCAGATAGAACCTATTGAACTTATAGAAGCTTTGTGGACACCTCTTATTAAGAAAGCAGTTATGCATGCACTACAGGAATCTCTTAATTAACTATTCATGAAGAGATCCTGGCACCAGGCCACAAGCTGGACAAATAGCCGGAGAAAGACACACATCTGTAGGGAGTTTGCAACTTCACGAGGAGGCAAGTAAATGACTGTTTATCGAAGGAGAACTGTCAAAATAGTATGGAGTGGTTCGATCTTTTCTGTCCACTGTATCATTTGATGCAAAGAGGGAAAATTTGGCTTCAATTTGATGATAGGAATTTGGACTTTGCCGCATATGTCCATAAAACAGGATTACCTGTAAGCAAAAGTTCACAGAACCCAGGAAATTAGAACTCTTACTGTGGCTGCTAAAGGAAAGGTTGTAACCTTAATATTAAACTGGGATCCAGAAAAAAAATATATATAACCAATTTAAAGACTTCATGGTTTTACATGTTATGACGCTGTAGTATCTGTTTATACTCTTCTTATGGGGATCTTGGTTTACAACTCTTGACAGAGAATACTCATTCAGTAGAGCCCCTCAGGGCTAAATATAAGATAATGTTGCTGACAGAACAAGATTCCCCAAATTTCTGTGTCTTGTGAGACCATGATGACAGAGTGTTTAAAGCCTACTTTATATATTCCCTCCAAATCCCAAGCTCCTTTGACTTGCCAACCCACATTGCTATCTGATTGCCACAATTCCCTGATATATGAAATCATGGTGGAATTTCCTTGGAATTATATATCTTAAGCCATGATAGCATTCAATGACTTCCAGATGCCTTAACAATGATGGTCCACTGAGTAAGGAATTACCACAGATTATCTCCCCTTTGATTTGTCACAGTTTTGTATGGAGTTTATTACCAGTAGAAATATTAACCTAGCCTTCTACAGCAGCCTATTTCTGAGATCTTTAGACAATATTACAAAAAAAGACGTCTGTTATTTTTCTTTTTCTAACATAGGAGTGGTCAGTGACGACTGCCAAGCTCCCAGAAAAATGAAGAGCCATAGTCCTGCTGATGTGCCTTCTATCTAGGCATGGAACAAATATCCAGCGTTCTAGAGACTGCTCATTCTTCACTGGAACACAATGGAAAAGGTAAGAGAAGTGGTCCTGTACTGCCAACAATGCACCGAGCGGGGCAGAGCAGAGTTCTGCGTGCCATCTCTATGTTGGCCTCCTTGCTGCTGCCATGCACACGATCTCGGATTCTGCACCACAAACCTATACAAAACTAATTGTTCATGTGATTTCCTTTCTGTGCCACTGCAGATGTCCCTTTCTGTAACAATTTAATTAACACTTTAAAATAATGATGCATTAATTAATGCCAAATTACAATGAAAATCCTGGAGAATTACACTTTATATCAACATTAATGCAAAATGAGTTCCTCCTGGATAATTTTTCTTACAATGAATACAAAAAGAGATAATACTAATTAGGCCATCAATTTAAATTTACCATAATTTCAATCCATGTCATTTATCTGTTTCCCAGCATAAAACAATACCAGTCTACCATACGTTTGTATGGCAATAGGGATGTCTGCATAGCAACCAGACCTGGGTCATTTTTAGGGTATTGTGAAATAGGCTTGAATTTTGAATTTGTATGTCAGTTGTTGAAAACAGGGTCTGTGTGTGTGTGTGTGTGCGCGCGCAGGGGTGCGTAGTACATGTGTGTCTGAATATGAGAGAGAGGAGGAGTCCAACACTTTAGTAAAATAAAATGCTCTGACTTAAATAAAGTTATATGCTCAGTTTTATCAGATGCATGGCATAAGTCATCAGGCTTAGTCTATCCAGTTGCATATAATTCAGTTTATTTTCCATTCTTGGGGTCATGACCCAGGAGTTAGAAGAATTGTAGTATCTCCAGGGTCATTTGTTCATGAACAAACCTAAATCACATCATCCCATATTCAAAAGTGACATGATGTGCACCTGTTACATTTCATTTTCATTGCTTCTAATAAGGAGATGCTCCTTTCAGTATCAGGAAGAGAGAGGGCTCAGAAGGTTAATTTTACAATGCTCACTGAAGAAAGAAACGTGACAGTAGTTCCTCAATTACAACTACTTTCTTAAGCGACCCTTTGTGTGTGCCTTTCATGTTGAGACACACTTGGTATCTAGATCATGCAAGATCTGTCAAACATTTTGTTTCTAAATCAGAACATCCCTGACTAAATATTTTCATAAAATCCTAAGTATTTTATTCTTAAAAAAGTCTTTTGATGGCAAGAGAGCATATTGGGGCAGATTCCTTCAGGGCTTCATCTTAAATTTACTCTCTTTTTGGCAAAGAGTTTCCACCCATCCACTGTGACATGGGATTCTCACTTCTCATATTTGGGAATCCTGAAATGTACTTTACTAGTGTCGTGAAAAGCATATTTAATAAAATGGCCAATTACAGTGTAGCAGTGGATATGGAAATTTACTAACAAAACAAATCATCTTCCAACATGAAGAATCTCTAATTTCAGAAGGGATAACATCAGAATGTGGTCAAAATTCTTGTGTCTCTGGGGTATTTTCCTGAATATGTTCCTTACTCCTCTTAGCAATTTGTGTTCTCACTGTGCCCCTCTTAAAGATCCTTTCCCCCTTGTAATGAATGACAAGAAAAAATTGGCTCTTTATAGTTTAGTTTTCCCATGTTCTAAATCAGCAATGGAAATTTCTGCTTGCCCAGGTGTTCTCAAAGAAAGTAGGCAATGGGCCTAAATGAAGTCTGGCAGAAAGAAATTAATTTTTAAAAATCAATAAGCTCTGCCTTTGTTTTTATTCAGCTTTAGGGGAATACATATCAGTGACATTTACCTTGGACTATGTCTCCGTGCCCAAATAACCAGAGCATGTCAGAGCAGACGGGGGGCATGGGTGATCTATTCCACTTCATAAGCCTGGTTGACTGCCAGGGAGTAGATGATGAAGACAGTTGAAAACTTGACCTCTCAGAGCTACTTGGCATCATATAGTCATTCTTCAACCATGTATATCTACCAGAGGCATAAAATTATATAATCCAACATGGGTTCCTGGGGCATACCTATAGCGTTTTTCATAAAAATGGAAGAATCAGTGAACTTTTCACCATGTATGTCATTAATTATATGCTTGAAATTTATTAAGATAATTCTAGAAATTAAATAGCATGTCTTCATACCTTAGCCCAGTACCTCAAGTCATGTTTGTGTGTTTGCTTGCCTCTTGTAGTATTACCCTTCTCTCTCTCCCTGCACCATTCTGTTATCAGGAAGCACTAGTAAAAGCCTATGCAAGCTTAGGAGCTCCTGAGATGGAACTGTTTTACAGAGGTGAGGGTTGTGCCACAGTGAAGGCTGATGAACGTTTTCGTGGTTGTTCTTTTATTTCTTTTTTTGTATGTTTTTTAAGACTTTATTTATTTTGAGAAAGAAAACATGAGAGGAGACAGAGGGAGAGAGAGAATCTCAAACAGACTCCCCACTGAGCATGGAGCTCAACATGGGGCTCTATCCCAGGACCCTGAGATCATGACCGGAACTGAAGTCAGACGCTTAACCGACTGAACCACCCAGGCACCCTCATGGCTGTTCTTTTAATAGTCTCTCAGCAAGATTATTAGAAGAGGAAACTATTTGGGTTATTTCTCACAGTTGACGTACTTTAATCCTTCTAGTTTCAGGTTTATTTTGAAATAACTGAATGGTAAAGATGATGCCTATGACTTCATAAAGAAAAAAACAGCCTCTTTAGTGAATAATCTTTCTGATTTTTTTCATGTACATTCACTGAAACAGAGAATCAGCAAGAACCATAAGATCCTAGTGATTAAGTCTTAACTTAACCTGATGGGTAGGAACCTGTTTACACATCTGCCATGCTACCTTGATCCTTGGCTCTGGAATTAGGTAGGGATTCAATTCCCAGCTCTATCTTGGACAGGCTACTTGCCATGAGCTGTAGTTTTCTCATCTATAAAGTAGAAATGATAATACAAATAGTTTTGAAGACTGAAAGAACGTTCTTAAAGTGTTTCGCACATCTAGTTCTGGTTCTGCTGATAATTTGAAAACTCATTCATTTGGTCCTGCAAACATTGACTAATTACCTAACATGGTGCCAGTCACAAGCCTCTGCCCATACAAAGATGATTAAAGTAAAATGTCTATCCAAAAGAACTTTACAGTTTAGAGGTACACACAGGAACAAAAGTCAATAATTAAAATACACTGTGGTATAATAGAGGTATGAACAAAATACTATAAAAAAAAAAGGAGACATTAACCCTGGGGATTTTGGGGAGGGATCCAAACAAAAGGTGATATTTGAGTTGGAGCCCAGCAAAGAATAAAGGCGACCTCATACTAAGAAACAGAGGCAGATACAGGGAAGAGATTGGTTCATTATATTGCAAGCTATCCCATGTGGTTGAGTGTAATATATGCGGGTCCATAACAGACTTTTTGTGAGGGGAATAAAAAAGATTGTTCAAGCAATATTGGATGTAAATTACTAAAATTGTATTTTTTTCTATTTATAACTCTGGGCAGTTTGGCAAACGTATCAAAAGCCTTAAATTTCTAGGTATGCTATACCACGGCATTCCTATTTCTAGGGATTTATCTGAAGGGAATTGGTATGACTATGAATAAATATTTTGATATGACCCTTTGGTTCCTACCAAGATGGCAAACTAGAGACAAACAGTCAGATTTCCTTGCCTCAACTGAATCCTAGACATTCCGAATAAATGGGAAACAGACATTGTATATTTAGGAATATACAATGCCACGGAACTGTAAGAAATCAATGAAACCACAGAGGATTGTTGACCTTTTAGTGTGTGGTAGTAGCTGGACACAGTGAAGGATGAGCTACTATAACTGTAGAAACAACATATGAACTGAATGTGACAGCGAACACACAAACAGAAGAAAGGTTTAATTTTTGTTCTGAATCTTTTCTCCCACTGTCTTTGTCTTGATCAGATTTCTCCACAGTAACATTGCATGGAAGAAACAGTAATGTTTTAAAGTATTAAAAGATTTAATTACAAGGATTAAATGATACAAGTGACCAAGATATAGGTTCCTGTATTGTTCAACTTCTCTTAGCAGGGCACAGACTAAACTGGACAACATAGATCCTCTGAAAGTAAATTTTTAGAATATATGGATGAATAATTTGAAATAAGTATGATTAAAGATACTTATTTAATTGGGAAATAGAACCAGGAATGGGTTAAAAGATCAGGTTGAGAAGCCCTACCAGAAGGCAGAAGTAAAGAATGAAGATGAAAAAGAACATAGTAAAGCTAAAAGTGAAACAGGGTAGAAGTAGAAGTGCCATTTTCTGGATATGAGAAATCTTAGAGAAAAAGAAAAAAATAGGATGAAGTATTTAAAGAAGTAATGGAGAAAAATGTCTCAGGATCTTTGAAAAATGAAAGACCTTAGAATCCGGAAGGACTTATAGAGAAACAAGCAAGAGAAATAAGGAAAACCCCATAGAGGGAATATCAAAAGCAAAAAGGGAATTCTACTACCTTCCAGAAAGGAACAGCAATTCACCTACAGGGAAAGAAGAATAAAGTCAATATCAGATTTCTCCACAGCAACATTACATGGAAGAAAACAGTAAAGCGATATTTTAAAGTATTAAAAGATTTAATTACAATGATGTTTACTGTGGTATTGCTTGTAATAATGAAATATTGAAAGAGACCTGAATGACCATACAATGGCACACCATGAAGCCACTTAAAAATTATGTTGCAGAAAAATGTATAAAAAAACATAAAAAGGCATTTGCAATGAAAAATGTCTCTGTGAATAAAAGATTATACACATGTGATTCCACTTTTGTTTAAGTGGAAAGACTGAAAGAATATATGCAGAAATTTTAGTTTTTTAAAAAAATTCCAGCAGAGTTAACATACAATGCTATATTAGTTTCAGGTGTACAATATGGTGATTCAACAATTCCATATATCCCTCAGTACTTATCATGACAAGTGCACTTCTGAATCCCCATCACCTATTTAACTACCGCCCCCCCCCCCAACCTTCTCTCTGGTAACCATCAGTTTGTTATCTATAGTTGAGT